GCGCTTGTCCTTCCTGCTGGGGGGAGGGAGAGGCCACTCCTTACTAACACCTGCCCTCCCCAGGAGCAATTGCCTGGTGGTGTCCGGGATTGGCCAGTGGCAGGCCCCATGTGGGCACTAAGGCAACTGCCTTCCCAGTGGAGGAGGCTCCACCCAAGGAGGGGGAGGTCAGAGCCTGAGGCTCCATCCCCCATGGCTGGCCCCGCCCCCTCCAGCTGTGCGCACCCTTTCTGTGGTGGGGGAGGGGGGCAAGGCTGCTGCACCCCTCCCCCACTCAGCAGCCTGCCAGAGGCACAGGGCGTGCCTGGGGTTGGCAGAGTTCCAGCCCCTCAGCTTCTGAGTGAGCTGCCCTGACACTGCACACAGAACACAAGCAGATGGTCTCCCAGGTCCTCTGCTGGGGACCCTCATCAGAACTGTGGCCTAGCATGGTCTCTGGGGCTGGTGGGAGCAGCCCCATGGGTGTGAGGCTCTACTCTGGCCCCTTGTGACCGCTTGTCCTTCACCAGTGACAATGAAGTGAGGTCACTGGGGCACCACCTTGCTGGTCTGGTGACCTGATGCACAGTGACCTCCTCGTCAGCCTCTCCTCCCACCCCAATCCATGTGGGCAGTTGGGAGGAAGGAGGGACTTCATGCAGGGTCTGGGGTTCAGATGAGCTTCATGGATTGGAGCCTGGGGTTTACAAGGCCGGAGGCTGTGCTGGGGGTGGGGGCCCTGCAGCCTGGGCTGGAGCAGAGGTGAAGTGGGGAAGTATTGGGGGCGGTCTGAGTTCTTGATTGGGGGGTGCTTTCTCCCTGTTCACTTCGGGCCTCCCCTCCCCCAGTGGGCACCAGGCCAGCCTGGGAGCTTCTCCCTTAGGGACAGAATTTCCTTTGACTCCAGTGGGGGCCCTCCTTGCCTGAGGTCCTGGACTCCCTTCATCTTTTACCCCCAATAGGCTCCTCTCTGATCCTGGGAGCACAGGTACCCACCATCCAGCGTGGCCGCTGAAATCATTCCTCTCATGCAATTGCCCATATGTTCGAGCAGCTCCTGTTGTTTAGGCAGTGCCCCAAAGGAAAGTGACCCATGCCTCCCACAGTGAGGGAGAGGAGGGGAGGGTGACTGACATTCAGTTCAGGGCAGTGACTTGTCTGCAGCTCATGGGGAGACAGGACAGACAGACTCAGTGAGCAGGCCGACAGCATTTGTGGTGAAAGCATGTTGGAAAAGGACAGAAACTAGAACTTTAGGCTGAGAGGGACGTGGGAGCATCCCTTGCTTCCCTCTGGGGTGGTGAGGAGATGACCTCTACAGGTGAAGGAGGGGATGGGGAGACCTGGGTGAGAGCAGAGGGACGGAGTGTGGCTGAGGGCTCAGGTGGCACGGGGTGGGCAGCAGGTGCAGGCTGGGATGCCAGGAGGGGTTGGAGGCAGATGGAGGCCAAGTTGATAGGCTGTGCCCTTGAGCTTCAGACTTCTCAAGCCCTGCCTGGAATGGGGAGCACCCCGGGGACGGGGGTGACTTGACCACGGGGAAACCTGCTTGATTCAACCCTTTTGGACTGCCCGTGGGAGCAGATGTCTGAGGGTCGAGGCCGGGGCATGCTGGCCTAACACGTGTCAGACGGACGCTCGGCCTCCTGTGCCAGGAGCACGAAGCAGCTGTCACTTTCCTTCCTTTCAGTTTGAGTCCAAGGCAGGGCCCTGCACTGTTGCTCATTTGTGAAATCAGCTCCTTTAAGGAGCTTGCAAAAGAGTCAGCTCAGGACTGTGTCCCAAATACAGTGATGGGGCCCCTTCAGTGCCCTGTGCTCTCCCCACCCCCGCCAAGTCTCCAGAAGGTGGGCTGCTTTGGGACTGGTTCTGCCTGGCCATACCCAGGACAGGCCTCCCAGGGTGTTTGCTGGTGAGGAAACTGAGGTGCTGGGTGCCCTACCTGCTTGGACACAGAGCCAGGAGGTCTTTATCGTAGGCGTACTGCAGGTGTGAATTGGGATTCTTTGAGGGGCTCATACAGTGTGCTCCTCCCCGTGCCCCCACGTTGGTAGATGTGGGCATTGACTGTCCTGTGGAGAACTGGTACTTCAGGAGCCTGGCAGCTAAATTCTTTTTTTGTCCTGTGATGAACTCTTGCATGGCTTTTTAGACCCTGACTGTTGAAGTCTGGTTTCCCATGTCCTGCCCCGCTGGGACATCAAGGCTGGGCTCTGAGCGGCCCCTTTAAGAGCGAGTACTCGTGTCCCAGACTTGGTTGTGGAATGCCAGCAGTCTCCCTGTAAACAGACATCACTGCCGTCTTCCCTCCTGTCTCTGTGAGGGTTAACAACTCTTCAGCTTGTTGTCTGGAACCGGTTCAGACTGGTTTTCTGGAAAGTGCTTTGTCTCTCAGACTGAATCCTGGGAAGGGTCATGTGGAGCCCAGTGATGTCATGGGATCAAAAACTGACTCAGCTGTTTTTTTTCTTCTTTTCTTTCTTCTTTCAATCAAGATATGTGTATGCTGCAGGTACAGGGTGCCGGCATGGTGATGGGCCAGGCCTCACCCCACTCAAAGTTCGCCTCATTGGCAGTCAAAGGGTTAAATGTGACCCCCCACTCCTCACCCCCCTGAGGTGAGCAGGGAGTGAGAAGGCTGCCCCTCACTGAAGCGGGAGTAGAAGGGTCAACCCTCATCAGTGCAGTGCAGGGCTGGAGTTGGACTGTGACCCTGCTCCTGAGACAGCATGGTCCCTCCTTCTTGGATTCCAGATACCTCCAATCCCATGTAGGTGCTCAGGATCCCATAGGCAGGGAATTGAGATCTAGAACAGTTTCCTCTATTTGCTCTTGAGTCTGGAGTGCAGAGATTTCCCCCTTCTTTCTGATAAGCAGCCACCTTCCGTTGTTCCTGTCCAGGTCTCTGCAGGTTTCTGGCCCTGGATGGGGCGATGCATAGCTTGGCTTCCCAGATGCTGTGTTGCTCCTGCCCTCTCTTTCCCCAAGGCAGTGAAGAAATGTCCTGGGCACGCTTTGTGGGCCCTTCATTTGTTGTACCTACTTCTGCCATTGTCACATGGTGAGGAAAACACTCCATGCTGACATTGTGAAAAGTCTGAGAAGACAGCCACTTCGTTGTGCCAAGTTTAAATGTCATGTTTTCTCCATCCCCTAAAGTTCAGAATGACTGAAGAAGCATGCCGAACACGGAGTCAGAAACGAGCGCTTGACCGGGACCCAGCAGAGGACGATGTGGAGAGCAAGAAAATAAAAATGGAGAGAGGAGTGTTGGCTTCAGAGTTAAACGCTGATGGAGACATGAGAGTGACGCCTGAGCCGGGAGCAGGCCCAGCCCAAGGGTTGCTGAGAGGTGCAGAGGCGATGGCCATGGGCAGAGGCGAAGGGCAGGTGGGCGATGGGCCCGTGGACATGCGAACCACACACAGGTGAGCAGGAGGGTCCAGGAACCAGGCCTGGGCGTGAGGAGGCCTGTGGGGGTGAAGCCGCCGTCAGGCCTACAGGAAGCAGCTTTCGGTGGCTTATCATGGAGATGGCTGTGGGCTCCAGCCCTGGCACCTCCCCCACCGTCCTGGCCAAGGGACCTCCCTCTTGGGGCCCTGGGGCCCAGACATCTGTATCATGGGGCGTGGGTCTCACAGGATGGGGGAATGGTAGCCTCTGTTGGCTCCCCTGCTTGACAGCAGGCCTTCACTAAACTTGTACTTGCTGTCTAGCTCTGTGCTTCTGGTTTATAGGAAAACTTTTTCATTTGGTCCAGCTTCCCTGCTTTTCAGATCTGGGGCATGGGAGGCCGGGGATGATGCTACACCCTGCTTGGGTCACTTGGCTAGGGGCAGAGTCGGGAGCACAGCCCTCTCACGTGCGTCACCACTCCTCCTAGGCCGTGCATCAGGGAGGAGGGGCCCCTTGTTCGGGACTCCTGTGACGTGTTCTTTCAGTTTCTCCTTCATTGATACTGATTGCTTCAAGAGTAACTTTCCCAATCCTCAGCTTTTAAGGAAAAAGCTTGAAAGAAATAAGACTCAGTGTACCACCCCATGTCTTCACTAGGAAACCCTCTTTTCTCCCTGTAAAGAGAATTGCAGGCCTAGCACCAGCTCCTGCTTTACCCCTCCCTTCACACCCTGATGTCCCATGAGCCAGCAGCTGGTGGCCATGGCCTCCTGAGACGCCCCACAGCCCCTCTGTGTGTGGCCCCTCTGTGGTTCATCCCTTGTCTCCCTCAGTGCCTCCTCTGCAGACTCCCTTCCATGCCTGTTTGCCCCGGGGTGGGGTGAGGGGCAGTAAGTGCAGGTCTGGAGAACCTGGTGCTCTTTGCCTCCTTGTGTTGACTGACCCCGCAGAGGGACCCCAACCTGCAGTCTTTGCATTAAATTCATTTGGGCCCCACACTGTTGGCATCCTAAGGACTTCAGAGATTGTCTGACTCAGTATTTCTCAGCTTTAAAATTTCTAACCATCTTGAGATAAATGGGAAAATCTAACCCCCTCCTACTGGGGAAGCGTATTAGTCTGGGGTGTGTGCTTTGTGTTTTTGCTACCCAGAAAGGCCTTTTTTTATCTGGCTCTGCTTTCTGCAGTCCCTGTTCTAAAACCAGAGGCCTCTTTTAAAGTTCTAGAAATAAAATTTTAAGTTTGGGTCTGCTTTCCCTTCCCTTTCCTTTCAGAATGTCACAGGTGGGTGAAGAGAAGGAGGAACCCACACTTGCAGATATTTACTGGGTCCCTCTTGTGTTCCTGCGCTCCTGGTCTACATTTTTTCCTGTAATCACCATGCTCCCCTGTAGGGCAGGCCAGTGAATTGTGAGGGAGAGGTTAAGTGTTGAAGGAGCATAAAAGAATGTAAAAGAGCAAGAGACAGAGACTAACCCAGGCACACAGAGCAGGGGTTCTCCTGTGGGACTAGGGAGACCCCAGGGCATTCTTGAAGCAGTGTGAGATCGTGGAAGGAGCCCGGCTTTGGCAGAGTGGGGCTCAGATCACGCTCTCTGACTGACCTTGGGCAGATGATACTGGCCCGTGCTTCTTCATTTGTAAAATGGGTGATAATCTGTGCTCTGCATCTCTGGGTGACAGATGCGTGCCCAGAATTGACCCTGGTGCATGGCATGTGGTGAGGGAAATAAGTGTTGGTAACAACTACCCTTCAGTCTTCAAGCTTCACTTAAAATACGACGTCACATATAGAGCTAGTGTCTCCTTGAGTGCTCACATAGAGTGTTCTGTCTAGTTTGTTGAAGTATAGTTGTGAATTTTGACAGAATAATAGGATCAAGTCCAGCCTAGAGCCATTCTAAAACTGTAATCTTTTTTGGAGTGAGTGGCCATGGTTTCTGTGTTAGAAGCAGGCAGTCTTTGGATGCTCATTGAGAGCGTCTGGCTCATCCCTTGGGAACCTCCATATAGAGAATTTTATTTAATTGAGGTATAGCATACATAATGAAAAGTACACATGCGCCACTTGGTACATTTCACAAACTGAGCACATCCTTGTAGCTCAAATCAAGAAATAGAACGTTACTAGCGCCCTCATGCCCACTTGTCACTACCCTCCGAGTAACCACTTTCTTTTTTTTTTTTTTTTTTTTTTTTTTTTTTTCGAGTAACCACTTTCTTGACTTCAAACAGCGCAGGTTAGTTTTTCCTGTTTTTGAACTTTAAGTAATTGGAATTATATAGTCTGTACCCTTTGCTTGCTTTCATTCAACATAATGTTTGTGAAATTTACTTATGTTGTTGAATGTAGGAATAGTTACTCTTTTCATTGCTGTATAGTATTTTTCTAGAATTTGTTTGGCTCTTTTTAAAAACTGTTTCTTTCTTTCATGCTGTGCTATTCTTATGACCCAGTTTAGGCATATTGAAGGCTAGAGGGGAGTTTCTGGTGGCTTCTAGCAGAGAGAATTTCCTTTTTCTTTAAGGAAGTGCTGGTGAATTAAAATCACCAAGATACAACTTTTTTTTTTTTTTTAAAACAACATTGGGGAGATTTAGAGCATGCGGAGATCGATAAAATGGTAGGATCAGTTCTCTCCTTCTCTGCAGTTCCCCTCTTCATCTCTCTTTGGCATTTTTTCTGACTTAGTCTCCCAATGTGTGTGTGTTTTATTTTCAAAATAAATCAAGGTTGGAGGGCAGCTTCCAGCAGTGATTGAATGAGGAGCAATTGTCAAATCCTTTCCCCAAAAAAACAACTATGAAGCAGCACAGAATTGACCCCCCCAAAATCAGCCATTTCAACACTCTGGAAGTTGACTAGAAGCACACAACAATCTGTGAAGTGTTTGTGCTTAAGAAACTGCTGAACTCTGGGTAAAAATGGTGAGAATATGTGGCATTTGACCTGGGGCTCCTCTCATGCCCTCTCCCCAGCTCTCTTGGTAGGGAAGTTCTGCCTAGCCAGTGCAGGCTGTAAGGACCAACAGCTTCTCTGCAGGGGTGAGAAGGGGCTCACTCAATTTAGAGTGGTGTGCAGCAGCCCTGCCTGTGGCCTTGTTGGTTAAAGTGACAGTTTTGGAGATGGGTAAGTGGGGAGGGACAGTGGCTGTATTAGCCCAAGGTTGCAGACATGTTTGGGGGCAAGACAGAAAAAATTTGAAGAAAGAATGGCCAAACATGTATTTGAGCAGAAGCTTATCCAAGGAGCTTAACAAACCTCAAGTAGCATAAATACAAAGAGATCTATACCTAGACACATCAGAGTCAAACTGTTACAAGCCAGAGAAAAAGGGAAAATCTTGAAAGTAGCAAGAGGAAAACCACTCATCACATATAGGGGAAGCATTAATATAATTAACAGCTGACTTCTCACCTGAGACATTCAAATGGAAACCAAAAGGGAACTGAATGGCATTTAAAGTACTCAAAGAAGAAAATTGTCAACCCAGAATTCTCAGTGCATGAGAACTCTCCTTAAGAAACGAAAGCAAAAAGAGATTTTCAGATAAACAAAGACTGAGAGGATTTGTTGCTGGCAGACCTGCTGGTTCTTCAGGCTGAAAGGAAGTGACATGTTGGTAACGTACATTCACAGGAAGAAATAAAGAGCACTGGAAATGGTAAATATGTGGACTAATAGAAAAGACATTTTTTTCTCATTTCTTCTTAGTTAAAAGACATAACATCATGTGAAGCATTAACCATAACACTGGATAGAATTGACAAAAACAACCATATAGCTCTTTGGTAGTTGACCAAAGGCATACAACAATCTGTTGTATTTATAACATATATAGACACGTGATATATGGGACAACAACAGTACAAAACAGGAGGAATGAAATGGAGCTGTATTGGAGTAAAGTTTCTGTATTTTACTGGGATCAGGTTAGTGTTAATCTGAAGCAGACTGTGATGTTAATAAAATGCTTATTGTAATCCCTAGAGCAACTATTAAGAAAATAACTTTAAAATATAGTTTGAAAAATCAACAGAAAAATTGTGGTACATTAAATATTTAACACAAAAGAAAGCAGTCAATGAAGAACAGAAGAACAAAAAAGAAGGAAGACATGTAGAAAACAAACAGCTAAATGATAAATGTAAATCCAACCAGATCAATAATTGCATTTAATGTGAGTAGTCTAAACACCCCAATCAAAAGGCAGAGATTGTCAGAGCAGATAAAAAAGGCAAGATCCAGCCTAATTTTATATATATATATATATATATATATATATATATATATATATATTTTTTTTTTTTTTTT